CATACATTTGAGAGAACTGTCAAAAGTGCTGTATTGATAATACTTTTCTTTGGATTTTAACATGTGATGCAAGAACCAAACCAAGATCTGTACTGCATTAGGAACAACTTGAAATCTGAACATACAATTTTAGAAATAAAATTTTAAAATAAGTAAGAAAAAGGCTTCCAAAATTGCTACAATCTCAAATTTTCAGTTGCATAAAATTCTGGAATTCTTATATAATAAAACAAGACTCGAGTCACGAAGTTAAGTTTATTAACACCTTATTGGGTCATGCATAAGCTAAAACAACGCTTAAAGAATCTTACAAATCAATGTTTTTCGATTGAAGATCACCTCTATCTCTCGACCCCAGTGAAACTGCAGTAAAAATTACCTGAAAATGTTGGAAAAATTTCAGGCTCATAATTTCCAATTGAGAAGAAAACCCTAAAAAAAATAAAAATAAATAAATAATCTTTAGAAATATTTTATTTACCTGGGAAATAAATCATAAAAACATAGGCAGCCTAATTCCAAGCCCTCCATATAAATCTGGAAATATAGTAGCTGCTCCCATAGAAATGGTTACTCAGATGCGAAATTGCCCAACAACCCAATGTTGCAAAAACCACTACTCCCAATGAATTACAACTTATTTTTCTTCTCCAATAATTCTTCAGCAAGAAAGCAAAGTATAAACAGATAAATGAACCAAGTAAGAATATTGGATCTTCACCATTCTTGGAGATTGATAGATACAAATGAGCAAGGCTTCCAATCAGTATCAATGAACTCTCACAAATTGATCCCTGCACTTGTAATCGTGAAAAAAAAATTACTAATTTTATTAATGCGATAAGACTTCCATATCTTTAACACGAATATTTGAAATCAGAGTAGAACATACCTTACGAGCACACCATTTTAGGGTCGTGATACGAGATCTCCTTCTGGCTACAATGCCTTTGTTTTTTGCAATCGGAATGCCAAGATTCTGCAAAAATTGAAGTGATCTAGTCTTGAAAGATCTTCTTTTCCAGGAAAATGATGATCTGGGTTCGCATTTTAATTTGAAAAGAAATGGGCGGAGCTTAAGCTCGATTGAAAATTCGAAAAACTTGCGAATAGTTTGTGATGAATTGTGATTGAAATGGAAATGGAAGTTGTTGGCTTTGGATCGAATTTTGAGCGTCCATGTTTGATGCACATCTCTTTGCATCGTCCGATCGTCAGGAATTCTTTGAAATGGAAACG